GCAAAAATAATGAAATTTTATTACAGTTCTTCATTACTTAACTAACAAGTGATCATTTATAGATCGCACAATTTTCTTTTCTCATAAATTCTTCGATATTTTATTATTATGATTATTTATTCACTTTTGATAGGATATTGAGCATGAACAAATGTCATTATGTCGATTAGCTGATGCTTCTATTGATCTCTTACTAACATCGATTTGTTTTGGTCGTGCTTCTCGATCAATCAGTATCGGTGTACCACGTAATGATTATGAAGTGAGTTTAATTGTTTATCATTTTTTTCATATGAATTGATCGACTGTTTGATTTGAACACTTACCTAATTACTTACTTACGTATGTTATCCCTAGTGCAGCACAGAACAGCATTCTCCAACCTACTCTCTCTCCTGGGCCTTCCTTTCTAGTTCTGTCCAATTTTTGTTCATTCTTCTCATATCTGTTTCCATTTCTTGGCCTTCCTTGTTTCTTTTGACCCTGAGGGTTCCAAGTGAAGGCTTGCGTTGTGACACAATTGGGTGCTTTCCTCAATGTGTGTATCCTATCCACTCCCACTGCTTCTTCCTGATTTCTTCCTCTACTGGAATCTGGTTTTGTTCTTTCCCATAGTAGGTTGTTGTTGATGCCGTCTGGTCAACGAATTCAAAGTATTTTTGTTAGGTTCGTCACTAGGTATGCTTGAAACTATTACAGGTTCACCTTAGTCTGGTAAACGCGAACGAGACAATGAACTAGTGTCCAGGTAGGCTACCTTGATCTGAGAACGGCAAAACAGAAGTCTTGATATAGTGTAGAAAGTATATTCTACAAACACCCAGCCAGAACAATACAATCAAACACACAACTCTTGTTTATTTATACATCAAAGAAACGTCCTTGAGACAGTCACAAAAATAGCACAGTAAAATGACACAGCAGTCAATCACAGCCATGAATTTTCCTGGTGGGAAATGAAATCTCAAGGTCAACTGATCAGCCCATGCTCACAAACAGGAACTCCAAAATAAGGCAGCTCTCAAGCGAGTTCTGGGAATATAACGTCTCCAACAATTTTGCGTAGACAACTGTTAATATATACTTCTGTCTTCTTGTTCTAATAAATACTATCTTCTGCATGATGGCTTTGGTAGTACTATCTTGACATTTATACTGAAAATTCTGACATTGATGTTGGTTTACGGTTGTTTTGAGTTCCAGATGTTCTTCAATTGTAGAAATGCTGACATTGCTTTGCCCATCCATACGTTCATATCTGCATCAGATCCACCCTGCTTATCAATGATGCTGCCCAGATATGTAAAAGTTTTTACATCTTCTGAAGCTTCTCCGTTAAGTGTTCTATCAGAGGATCTTGCTTCTTCCGTTGTCTATGTGTTAGGATATTCATCAAATATCTTAAGAGAATTATTTTTGGTAGTCTAATTCTATTGGTCAATGTCACATACTACAATGTTGTTTCCTATTCGATCTAACTGTATAAATACGCATTATCTGTGATGTTTTTTGACCCGGACCCAGATCCCTACTCCGGGATCCTTCTTCCCTTCTGGACTCGGACCTTGTATCTTCTGGATGCTTGTGGAATGCATTCTCTACTTCATATCAAGTCTTCTTTTTTTACTCAGTGTGGGTTTGGGACACTCGGATTAGAGTAGCCGGTCGTGTCGCTGGATCCTTGATCCTCTCTCTCGTCTCCCGACTAAGTTAAACTCGTAATAGTTCAAGTCATATCAAATTGACATGTTTACGTTACACTGGTTGTCTTCTCCTGTGTTTTTATTATGTATGGTTGTTATAAGAGCTAGATCATCTGCGAAGTCTTGATCATGAAGCTACATCCCTAGCTTTCCACTTCATCTCATGCCTCCACCTCCGAGATGTTGACATCTTCATACATAATCTAGTCGATTATCAAGAAAATAAAAGAATGGTTAAGAGTAAAGCACCTTTGCGCTAACATCAATCTTCACCTTGAACAAGATTTCTTTTTTTTAAAAATTTTTATTTTCACTTATTCTCTTCTCTATAATTGTAGAAAACTTTAACACATGCATTTTCACGATTAGCACTTCAACGTATTGACAATATTATCAATTATAAATCTGAATTGGATCGATATCAACATCGTATTGCTAGTGAATTATTGACACAACGTTATTATCCTGTGTTTCATCCATTGACACGTGTATGGTGAATGACGATGATGATGATGATGTCGATGTTGATGATGATGGTGATAGGTGTACTTTTTAATCGATAATTAGCTGAAACTGCGAATTCTCAATTTCATTGATGAATGATTACTATTATTATTATTTGAATATGATGTATGTATGTACATATATATATATATATATTTATATTTAATATGTGTATACTTTCATCATGTTTTGCATTGATTTTGCAATGAAACTGATATGTTGGTAACTAAGTATACTTGAGGCTATTACGAGTTCAGCTTAGTCGACAAAACGTGATAAACGAGACAATGAACCAGCGTCCAGATAGGCTACCTTGTATCCCAAGCTGAAGATAAAAGGCTTTGTAAACGTAGAAAGTATATTCTACAAACACCCAGCAAGTACACAATACAATCAAGCACACACAACTCTCGTTTATTTATACATCATAGAAACGTCTTTGGGACAGTTATGAAAATAGCATACTAATAAAATACACAGCAGCCAATCACAGCCATGGATTTTCCTGGTGGGAATTGTAATCTCAAGGTCAACTGATCAGCTCATGCTGGCTAACGTGAAAACCAAAATAAGGCATTTAATCAAGCTAGTTTTGGGGATATAACATCCCTAACAGAAACTGTCTTGTTCAGTTTCTCTGTTGTGTATGTGTGTGTGGATTGTTCAATTTTATAATTTTGCTAACTGATATGTACACTACGGAGAATTGTGCAGCTATTCGGTGGTATCTTTTGATTTTTAATGATTTTTGAAGCAAGATAATTGTTTTAACTATTACTTACCGTGAAATCATCCATCAATCATTGTTAGACCACCAGCATTAGAAATCTGGAAGATGGGTGTTTTGTCCTAGGTTCGAATCGTGCGAGATGCAGGAGTCGTGGATGCACATTGTTGATGAGTTGTCCTATATCAGAATGGAACGTCCGTCTTGCAATGCTTCCAGATTTCTATTGGTATAGTCTAACAATGATTGATTGATGATTTCAAATGTGTAAAACCACTAATCTTCATAGCTCTAATTGAAAATTGTTATGTATGCATGTGAACATGTTATTTTGATATGCTTGAACTGCTACGAGTTCACCTTAGTCGCTAAACGAGAGCGAGGATCAGGCGACATGACATGCTACCCTAATCCGAGTATCTAAACCCCCATTGAGTGAAAGAAGAAGACTTGATATGGAGTTGAACCTGTATTCTAGAAAGTACGAGGTCCGAGTTCAGAAGAGAATCAGGATCTCGGACTAGGGATCCGGGTCCAGGTCATAAAACGTTACAGATAATGTGTAAATTATACATTTAGGTCGAATAAGAAACAGCATTGAAGTTTGTGACATTGATAGCTAGGACGACCATACTATTGATCAATAGGAATCGACCAATAGAATTTTCACTTACAAAATGATTCTTCGTAGGATATTTGGTGAATGATTCAAGAATCACTATTCCAGACATTTTTACCATTGGACTGATTAAAATGACTACTATGAATAAAGTTTCTTTAAGCATTCTTTTTTCAGTTTAATCAAACAAGCAAACTTTTTATTGTTACTAGTAATATCAGTCTATTAACTTCGTTTAGTAACATTATCTGAAAAATATGACCCTTGCAAATAAATAAATTCAACAAGGAAATTGATTGAACCTGATGTTTGAGGTGGAATATATATGAGTTTCGTTTCTCAAGTCGACATCTCTAGTGATGTACGATGGTTTCTAAGGTTCGACTGTGAAGTTTTTCTCATTTCATATTTGATGATCTTATGTAACGTAATTCAGTCAGTCATTTAGGATGTAGAACTTCGTACGTATGTACATCAGTCCAGGTTACCATACTATATTAGCATGGAGACGCAATTGTCAATTCAAATCCCATAGTGGTAGAGATATCAGAAGTATTACTGCTAATAGTGAAGATTAGGGTTCGAAGATATTATTCAAGAAGCATAATTCAGTGAGGTAACTTTAGAAGGAGAAAGGCAGAAGTGATGACGAATTCAGAAGATTAGAATTTCAGAGAAGACAAAGAGTGGATGCACTCGCGCCATTACAAACGATTTTGAGCCAAGTCATTTAAGGGTCTCTAAATGTTAGTTACTGTCATCTCGCGGGCCTCAACCAGGTAGTCTACACCCGCCAACATTGCTCAGTTCACTTGTCAGTGACTTCATGGATTTCTGCCATGTTTTGGTCTGGCCGCCCCTAGCTTTCTTCCAACCTATTCCTACATCGCAAAATATAGCTTGAGGAGGCAGTCGGTGGTTAGGCGTACGCAACACACGTCCTAACCACTTTAACTGATGAGGTTTTAATACTTCATGTATTGGATTGCTATCCCTACCTAGTACTCGTTTCCTAACTATATCATTGCTTACTCGGTCGTCCCAGTATACACGAGCAATGCTTCGAATATATCTATTATAGAGTACTAGTAGCCTACGAATATCTTCTACTCCAACTGGCCATGTGGTGGGACAGAGCAAACCGATGCGCAGTACACTCGACCGCGCCTACGCCGTAGAAGGCGTGAGTTGGTAAAAGCCGATCGAGCCTTCTGCATCTGTGCTGAGATATCGTCAGTCACCAGACTCCCAAGGTATGTGAAGCAGTCAACACGTTCAACTGCTTCACTCCGTGTCGCTAGTTTAGGTGTTTGTCGCAAGCCAATCTTGAAGCAACATTTTGCATTTTAAGCGGGTGAAACTGCATCCCGTACATGCCTACATTGTTGCTTAGGGTAATCAGAAGACTCTGCATTTTGTCAGCGTCTTCTCTAAGTAGAATTATGTCATCGGCATATTTTAGGTCAACAAGCGTGTCTCCTAGTAGAATGTAAAACTCACAATCAATATCTTTGTCTGATGAAAACTAAGTCCTATGTTATCTAAATATATGGTCAGGAACACGATATTTTGGCAGTCGTTAGTAGAAAAAGATCATTCACCAGTCTGTTTTATACGTCATTATTCATCTATAAAAATTCAGAAGTTTCCAATAAACGGATATATAATTTAATCAGTAATATCCAACATATCTGCAGCACAAAGTATATTTTGTGCAAAATGGTATTTGCACTGTGTAGTGGAACGCTTCTACGAAGAAAATACGATTTGTGAAAAATAAACATTATTGTACTCGTTTTGTTTAACTGTACCAAAAACACTTCTACGACTTCTTGCGCGCAACGTTCTCTTCGCGTTGCTGCCATTTTTCTAAATGCCCTGCTCCCCATGTAATGCCAACGTTCTCCTTCAATAAAATACTCAACCATGAATTTGTTTTGATATGAATGACGGCACCGTATGGAACATTTAGTGGTGAGCATAGTCAATCTGGTATCATCACTCGCTTACTACAACTGTATAGAAGCATATTATATTAAAACACATGAAAAAGCATCAATTTTATGTGAATACACTCGTACAAAGATGATAACTAAGCTTGATTAAGATGAATCAGAAAAAAAGTTTCTAGATTTTGTGCAATACAATGTTCAGAAATGCTAACGGTTTCAAGCCACTAGATAATAATCTCAACTGACTAAGTTATTTGGAGTCTATGATTTTGGCTGAGAAGTCGTAATGAACTTGTTTGTTCCTAAAATGCACCAGAACATCGTATATGTATGAAGATTCAGCTTTTATTACATGTAAGCTGGTTATTTTCGTTTCAAAGCAAATAATTTTAGGTAAAAAATATTTTTGGCTATTCGATGGTCTATAATGAAGTTCCTGCTTATCTGAGTTCTTCCTTGTGTGTTATTGAAGTCCTATATAGACCGTCGATAATCAGCTAGATAGGAATATGTTAATGATATGTAACAGTGATGACAGCAGACAAATTACGAGACGTGTGTCAGACACAGATGATATAAGCCAGAGATGGATTTCTGTGGGTGAGCACGTGTTTCTTAAGTCCCTCCTTGAAGCTATCAGCTTAGACAATTTTTGTTACTTCTGCTTAAAGAGCATCATAAGTGGGCGACTCTCGGTAGGGAAGAGTAAAGGCGTATACGGATTTCTGATCTTTCATATACAGTTTCCAGTGGTTTACTCCAGAGGACGTAGTAAAAATCCTCTTACAAGACGCTCGAAATGGATCTGAAAGATTTTCATTCCTTTTGACAAGAGGGTTTCGATAACATTGTGGGCAACATATGATATGGCAATCTGAACAGACTGAGCATAGTTTCCTACGCATATAATGGAGTTGCTTTCTACCTATTTCTTAGACTAGTTTTCAAGCTTTTTGTGCCTACTTGCTTGAGGTCACACTGGGGTGATAAAATACTCATAGAATTTAATTGAGTTGTTTCAACCACATAAAGCAGAATGTTCGTGAAATGACTTTACTTCTGGTCAGTCACCAACTCACTGTCTACTGTTTTAACTTGTGTTTTGTAGTTCAGGCGAATAGCTTGCGCATTTTATGAACAGCCAGGTATTCGCCTTGTCTGCGTACGTTGGCGTTGCTAAGCCAACTTTATGTAATAAACTATTAGAGTAAATCTGGAAGAGCAGCAGGTCTTAACTGTTCTCCTGTAGGACTCGCTCTGATTATCTCGGAAGAGACCTTTTATTTCAATAAGTGTTTCTGTAATCAAGTTAAACGTGGGTCTTTACAACTTGTAATAACAGTAGGTGCGGTACTGAGCCGAAGGCATCTGCAAAGTGGTTAACTATTGTTTAGACCGATTTAATTAGGTCTCAGAAGGTTGTTGGGCTGTACCATTGCATTAGTAGATTGAATTAATAAAACCCGCCTTTCCTTCATTAATGTGGGGGCTCATCAGTGATATTGTTTAATTCACGTATTCCCTCATTTGTTCACTGACCATTCTTTTCATCGCCTTCCGCCATATTGTTTGTGATGAGGCTAATCTTTGACGAGCTGGGTCTTTCCTATTTCCTTCTTTGAAGAATGGAAAATAGGTAACCCGCTTACATACTCTCAGGAGTTGTTGTAACTTTGGTGAATGCCTGATGAGGTCACACTGTAGTGTACGGATGACTTTCGTGCACTGTTTCAGGTTTGTAATGGAGCTTTGTTGCATATGGGAAACTTTTATGGTAACAGGGATTTCAATTCCATCGTAATGACTAGAGGGTTATCCGAATATTTCACATGCCATCAGCTGTCACCGGGGTTAAGGAGTGTTCCA